AGTTTTATATAAATTTCATTATTTGAGTAGTCTTCATTTAAAAATCAGAACTCTGCAATGCTATAAAATCTGAAACTCATTGTCATGTCAGTGAACAGAGATTTTCAGATTTGAAGGCAGTTTGAATTTTCAGGTTCAGGATGCTCAATCTAGTATGTGGGTAATAAAGGAGACTCTCCTTAGTGCTTCGGCCCAGATTCACATATTAGCAAAGCGAGTCTTCATGATGCCTAACTTATTCTGACATGGTTTAGAACATATGTACGTGAAATGTAATAAAAGATTAGTCATTATGCATTACTGAGTCTAGATGGTGGAGTTTGGGGGACTTGGTGGCACTCAGTCTGATTTCCTGGATATTTGAAGTTTTATGGTCATCTGATCAATGAAGAAGTTCTTTCAGTGAGAGAAGATGAAGGACCCGAATGTTCTTCTTGAGCTTGTCTTGTGTTCTGGGAGGAGGCTTTGCTTGCTGGAAGAGAGCATGCAGTGGATGAATCAAGCCCATAGAAACCCGTGAAGCAGTGCATGCCAGCCATACCATCTCATCAGCTCAGCAGGGCGCGCAGAGACATTTTTTCCAGCTTGCCCCATACATGGTCTCAGAACAGTGTGAGGGTGGACCTCTGTGTTATGCACTGTGCCACCAACTTCCCTTGGCAGCTGCAGGGATTCTCAAGTTATTCTGGCTATGCAGCCACTGGAAAACTAATGAGGCTGAATACGTTCACCGTAATTCTAAAGGGTATTTTCTCTCAGTGACTTGGCACTATAATTATAATAACCAAATGTAAACGGCCATACCTTTAAAAGGAGTGTGTTAGTTACTGTTCTGTTGCTATGAAGCCCATGTCAGGCTCAGGCTGTCTTGCTCAGTGCCTGTCTGTCTCTGTCCTGCTTCCTTCCCTCCTGCTAATCAGGATGTAGCTGTCAACCACTTCCCTTGCACTGGGCCTTTCTGCATACTAAACCATGCTCCCTGCTGTGTTGATAATGGCCTAAACCTGTGAAACTGTAAGCAAAGCCCCAGTTGCATGCTTTCTCTTTTAAGAGTTGCCTTGGTTGTGGTCTCTTCACAGCATTTGAACAGTAGAAATTGTTTTCAGGGAGTGACATATTGCTGTGACAGGCCAGCCCATGCTCTTGGTTGGAAAAATATGGAAGATTTGAGGGTAGTGGACTAGGAAAACAGTTTGGTGCCTTAAGTGGGGCTGAAAGGGCCATATTTGTAGGAGCATGGAAGACAGTGCTGAAGGCAATGTGAACTCTGGGGCCCCAGCTCAAGAACTTTCAGAGGGCAAGGTTATTAGCAAGTAGTTTAGAGACCGTCCTTGTGAACCATCTCTTCACCCTTGTGCTTTCTTATTTCTAGTAAAGACACAGTGGAACAGTTTAAGACAAAGTATCCTTGATCCTTGAGAATCTGTATAACTTTTGTGGATGACCAGTGGAGCCCAGTAGAAAGTTTGCTTGTAATGGGGCCTCTATTGAGCCTTCAGTGGGGAATTGGAGGCTATTTGTAGAATGGAGAGAAGTCCAACGGCTCTTTCCCAAGCAGGGAAAGACCGAAGTCCTTGGGGGCTGCCTAGAAGTAAGGAAAAATATGTACTCTCTATTACTGAGCAATATAAATTATACCTAGGAATGGACATAGCTAGGGACTTGGGATCGAAAGAGACTTCTATTACAAAGACATCTGCCTCCCCCATGCCCCTGGTTCCTCCAGAATCTAAAGACAGTGTTTCCTATTAGAAGAGGGTCCCAATAGCCAGTGAGAAAACAGACTACTGAGTGTGACTTGCCGGTGCCTAGTGATCTTAGACGATAATTGCCAGATGGTTTGGAAGTGAAACACGGTTTCTTCTTATGTATCTTCTCCCCAGTCTCCTGACAGGGCTTTTTAATCTGTGTTTTATTCTTTGGCATTTTGTTCGTTTGTGTAGTGAATTTCAGTCATTTCACCCCCCACCACCATCTGTCTTCCCCCACTCCTTCTGAAGTTGAAATCCTTCCCAGCATGTCCCTCTCATACTTCAATGTCTTCTCTGTGTGAATTACCCACTGAGCTTGTTAGAGTTGCTTACATGAGCATGGGTAAAAAGTTATTTCCTGCAGCGTGGACAATTTACCAGTGGCTACACCACAGAAGAATGGCAGCCCTTTCCCCAACACTACTAATTGTTAGCAGTTTTTAAGGTAGGGGTGGGGCCTCATGTGTCCTTCCCCATTTCGTGATGAAATGATGATGGGCTCAATCTTATACAGGGAACCACAGATGTAGAGAGTGTTTCTGAGTGTAAAGGCCATATTGTGACTCGAAGACGTCTTTTTGCAAAACATTTTCCCTTCCTCCATCTCTCCCAGTCTTTGCTTACTCCCTCCCATAATTCTCTAAACTTTGGGAAGGGTGATATCAATGACCCATTTATGGTCAAGCACTCCACTGTCCTCTCTTCTTGGTAATCCTGCCAGTTATGAGTCTCCATATTAATCACAGCTTGCTGCACTGAGAAACTTCTCTGGCCAAGGCTGAGAACCTAACACGATTTTCTGCATTTAGAGCATAAATGTCGGAAGCTGGGAGATGATGCTGAGTAGGGAGGAAACAGACCCCCTGGATTCTCTGCCACATTACTGTTATCTTCAGAGTGGTGGAGCTTTGGTTCCACCCTGAGCAAGTTTAAAACCTCAGTGGCTAGTTGAACTCTGTAAACTCAGTTTCATTAAGAACAAAGATAAGAATGTAGTAGTCTTTATCTCTGTTATCTATGGAAATGTAAGACATCTCCCAAAACGTTACAGCTTGGTATGTTTCAGTGGCAGTGATATTCTCTGTTTATATATCAAGTTTAGTTTGCCTTAAAAACTGACACAAGCACATTTTGTATTTAATCTCTCTTTAAACAATAAAGTTTCATATAACCAGTGGAATTAGGTTAAACAGGTGCAATTTTTTAGCATGTTAAACTTAATATTTCATTTGAAGGACCATTAGAGTGCAATTCCCAAGACTACTAATAATACAAACCACTTTAGGAGTGATGCCCCGACATAATTCTGCCTTGGGGGGACATAGGTGCATGGGACCAGGCTCTGTCCTAATGATTCCACTAACAAACCACTTGGCATATGCCTTGTATTGTTTTCTATAGGAGAAGGCATTATATTGGAGCTTTATTGTTTAGGATTGTTTACTCATTAGGATTTTTTTTGTGGCATAGTTTCTTTATCAGCGAGGTGGTGTCTCCCGGGTAACAGGCTTCATGAAAGCAGAGGAGTGCCCTACATAGTCAGCTTTATGTTTAGCCCCTTCCTGGCTATAGCTTTCTGTTGCTGAGAAACATTGAACATGCCATCTGCATCTTAATTGCTTAAACCTGCAGACTAACAAAGGCTATTGTACATTCTCTTTCTTGTTTACTTTTTGTAAGACTCATAAATAATTATGTGAAAATTCACTTCTGAATTTCGATGTTTCCAAATTGCTGCAGATTCCTCTCTTATACCCACTCCTCCCCTGACCGTAAGGCGAATAAGGAGATGTGGAGGTGACTTCTCTTTTCTCAGTGGCCTGAAGAATGAAACACTTGTTTAAAGCACTCAGAGAAATGCCACCTTGTACAACTTAGCAGAAGCAAGCAATATGGCTCAAGCACAATCTGATTTTTACTGTGTTGGGAAAAATATATTTGATCACAGTTAATCTGGAGATTATCCTTTTGTGGATGTCACTGTCATTTCATAGTCTGTGTGACTGAAATAATTCTTCTGTCGGAGTCATTGCATGTTTAGACAGAACATCAAGTCTGTGTTCTCCTGTGCCTGCTAGGGTAGTAGGAACGGTAGTAAATGTAGAAGAGGAAACTTCTTTGGTTGTGTTTTAACTATACATGACATGGTTTCAGAACAACCTTTGTCATGGAGTTAAAGATAGTTGGGACTCGATTTCCCTACAGAGGTTCTCATGGTTCTCAGTCTCTGTCTGGAAGGCTTAGCAGTTTTATGGGTTGTCTCATTGCCAGGAAACGCTCACCCTCAGGACTGTAGTACCCGAAGCATTATTACTTGATCTTTTCAGGAAAAGTCAAGGCAATATTTTATAACCCAAGGAAAAACTGGAGGAGGGTACCAAAGAAAGGAGGGCAAAGGCAGGCAAATGCTTCCTGTCTGGAAGTTCTGTTAGCACGCTGATGAATCAATGGCTATGTCTTCACTTGCACAGATAAGATTCTCTGTTTGGGGTAGAGTTTATGCAGTAACTATAGCTTATGCCTTTTTAAGAGAAATACAATATTTCACATTCATCATCATTAAAAAAACATTCTATTCTTGATAGATCTTCCCTTTGGCTCCAGTTTGAGACCATTGTGTAGAATGCTGTGATGGAAATACATTTATTTGCGAAAGTTCAACTTTAGGTGTTGCGTAGTCTTTCAAAATGGTTGTGCCTATGGGTTCTTCTGCCAACAGCAGATGAGAATGCTGACATTTGCAACTTTTTTTTCCTATCCATTCTGGTGAATTGGGAGTTCAGGGGGATGCATGTTGTTGGTGTTTTGTTTTTAACTTCATTGATAAAGATGCGGCTGAACTTGAACTAAGGAGTAACTTACTTACAAAATATACTCATTTGAATAAAAATTAAACTATTCTTTTAATGTTAAGTAGTGGACATTAGAAGGTGGCCAAGATCTATGGATCAGTTTAGACTTAGTTTATCATTCATCTAAAGTCATTAATTTTCCAACATGTTAGACCTCTTCATTTGTCCATTTTACAGCTGAGGTGACTGAATCACTTCATAGACTTAGGATCATGCCAGGTGTTTCGGCCTGACCTCTCAGAAGAGTCAGTATGATAATATTACTCTCCCACTCATGGGAGGCCACTGTTACTTCTTTTATTCTTTTATTTGTTAATTATTGAGTGCATAGTGTGACAGGCATTGGGCAGGGATTCAGACAGATTTATAATCTAATGATGTCACTATCATATTGCAGGTTATGGCTTTCAGATCACAGCCTATTTCATCAAGAGAGGGATACGCCTTCGCTGTATTCAGAGCTCACAGAACACTGGTAAGAATCCAGTTTCTTGGACCAGGCATTTACATAATCAATTTGTCCAAAAGAAGATTGATCCATGCCTAGTGCTTACTGCCCACAAGAACAGAGAACAGAACCACAGTGCGCTTTACCTTCCTGATGCATCACAGCGTTTTCATTGGGTTTCAAAAGTGACATAATGAACCCGTGAACTTTGAATCATTTTCTCAGGTTTAGCACACCCCATAGCCTTTGAAAAGGGGCAAATGAGTTTCAAGAAAGTGCTTTCCCAGCCCAAAGCCAGCAAACCTTCCTTAAGTATTTAATGAGGCCAGCTTCCAACCCTCACTTCTGCAAATCATGTTACAAGAAAGTGATACCATGTCCAATCAACCACAGTAAAGTCAGGAGATAACAGCCATTCCCTCTGTGCAGATCTGAACATTAGAAAGTTTAGCTTACCTATTTTGGACAATGCCCTTATGAATATAAGATATGAAACAATGACTTCGAAATTGCCTTCATGGATGTTTGCTCATAAAATATTAATCATTCATGTCTGTACTTTCTTGACTCTTAGATGTTGCTCAAATTTATTATACTCTTTTTTAAAAAATAGGTTATTTTTATTTTCTGTGTATGAGGTCTACCTGTATGCATGTATGTATGTGTCCAATATGTATGCTAAGTATCTTTGGAGGCTAGAAGTGAGTATTGGATCTGCTGGAATGGGAGTTTCAGATGCTTGTGACCAACATAATGGGTGCTAAGACTCAAGGCCAGGTCCTCTGGAAGAGCAGATTGTGCTCTTAACCACAGATTCGTCTCTCCAGCCCCTAATTAGCCTCTTACTGGAGTCATCCACTTTGTTGACCTCACTCACAAAGTTAACCCTCTGTCTCATACAATGCAGTCTAGCTGTGCATTCTTGTAGGAGCTGATGTTTAAATCTTTATTTACATATTAAGGTAACATAAATCAATTATTATATAATCAAGTAAAGTGATACAAAAGAAGCTTTTGAATTGAATATCATAATCTATTTATATCTTATTTAAACGTATTCTTAATCTATCTTTTTGAGATGAAAAATAGAAATCCAAAATAGCTGGAGTGTTATAATGGCCTGCCTGGAGGTCCTATCTGTTCTGATAGTTCAGTGGTTGAGCTATGCTAGTTTGCAACCCCTTGGCTCTTCCTCGAGCTCACATTGTCCAAGTGGTGGAAGCCCTATGGAGAAGAAGGGAGAAGAGACCCCAGTCACATGTATGCACATCTTGCTGTAACAAAACATTACCAAAGAACCTGGGAACAAGAATTTTTACTTGTGTGGTATTAATGCTTTTAGTAACTTGGTCTTCTTTGTTTTGTACAGAACTTCGTATATTTCCTGACAGATTTGTGGTCTGTGTTAGTCAACTTGCATTCGGTCCTGATGCTTGGGCAAGCCAGAATGAGAAATCGGTATGAAAAATATTCCGTGTGAGAATCTTATTAGTGCTAAGTGATCATGGTGGTAGCGGTGTGTGTGATGGTGGTGGTGGCGTGTATGTGGCAGTAATGTACGGTGGTGGTAATGTTTGGTGGTAATGTGTGGCGGGGGGGGGGTTGCCTTCTATCGTCAGCTATCCAGTGTGTTTTAAGAGGTTGGAAATGCCTTACCTTCTGTTTTGCGTGGTAACACTGATCAGGCCATGAGTTGTTGATTAATGTGTTGGGTTTTTGTTTCTTTCTTCTCTAAAACTGTGACTATTTAGTTTGATAACTGATATCACTTTCAACTTTAAATGAAGCAACAACACATCAGAGAACCTTGATGGTGCTTGTGATGGTATGTAAATGAAAAGAAGGGAAAATCTGTGCTTCTACTGGAAGTTTCCACTGGAGTCAGTGGCTTCTGAATTGTATTCCATGGTGAATCACTGACGTTTTTCATGAGAACTCGTGTTTCTCCCCAGTGTATTATTTCAGAGCTAATAGAGTTCATTTTCTCTTGCTCTCTTTTCTCATGCTAAGCCTGAGCTCTTTCAGGACCTCGTTCTGTTTCACTGGAGTTCTCTGCTCAGACACACAAATGTAGAGAACCTACTCAAAGTGTTGTAGCTTACAGCTGTGTCTTTTAAGCCATCCCGTGTGCTTTTGACAGTGTCTTTGTTGTGTGTATATGTCTTGCTGCCGTCACAGTTCAGTCTAATTAACTTGTCCTTAAAAAAATAAAAAATAAAAAAATTTTAGGTCTCTGGCTTGAACCTTCAATGAATAGGAAAAATATATAGAAAATATTAACCTAGCCATAAAGTATGACATGATTATTATGCTTCTAAAATAATTCATGGGGATATTAGATTATCCCTATTGCTTATTATTTTTTAGCCCATTTGAAATTTGGCCCTCATAGTATAAAATCAGCTTCTTATCTCATCTTAAGTAAATACATAAGTGTTTCAGAGGCTCTTTGAGACAGTAGAGACCCAGAAAGAGCAAAGAACTAAAAATTTGCCCTTGCATTTGGTTCCTTTGTTTTGAACAGAGGATCCTTTCAAAAAAGCCAGTGTAACCCTTTTATTTCCTCGTCGTCTATCAAAAACATTCTCTCTGTGTAAACATAAAATAAGATCAGTGAAGCAAATCTGGCCAAAGGCAGTAAAAGTTTATTTTTTTAAATATTTTCAGGACATTGCATTATCTTAGTAAATTAATAAATACTAAAGTAATTCTGTTGGCATATATTTTAATAAAGATTGCTTAACTGATTTTTCAGAGCAAGAAAGAATTGATCTGTGGTTTAGCTAAACTACCAGAATGTTATTGCTTGCAGATGGGATACAGGAGAAATCAGATCTTATATCTGACGTGTAATGGTAATACTTAATATCTTAAATTGTTAAAAAGGAATTAAAGCATCTGAATACAAATGAAACATTATCCCCTTGGGGGACTCTACTATTTATACAGATGTAAGTTTTCCGAAGCTGCTGTTATATAATTCCTGCAATCTGGAGAACTTCCTAATTACTGAAAACTTTCCTTGTGGACCAGTCTTTCATTTCATACAACTGTCTGCACACTTTACATGGGAACTCAGTTTCCTCATCTTTAACCTGTTCTGGTCTTTATTGAGTCCACTGTCAAAGTTGCCCATATGAGTGTATAAGAAAAGCCATTTATATCACACAGTTTTTTCTTTTTTGGTGGTTCTTTTTAGTTATGTCTCACTTTCCCTTCACGTCCACTTTCCCAGCAACACAGACGAGAGTCAGGGAAACAGAGTCGAGCAGGTACCACCTAACTGCACCATTGCTGCATGGGCTCCCATCTCACTGAACAACTCCCCTGCGCAGGGCCTCCAGCCCACCACTTTCTCAGGTGTGTCTGCAGTAGCTGTGAATAGCCAGGCCCTCCTGCAGACCCCTCATCAAGCCGGTCATACTGCCTTCCCACTACTGATATCTGACCTCTTGAGAGTCCACCTTCCCAGCTATTTAGGGATCAGTCAACCATCTTTCCCTCCCTAATGCCTCCTGCCAGAGAAGAAATTCATTCTCATGATGAACTCTATATACCCAAACCTAGTGATACCAGTTTCCCCCCACCCCCCGCAAAAATTTGAATTTCTTTTCATTTTATATGATCACAAGAGGGCAGGATCTGTCTCATTCTCCTGGTAGTCATTCTCAAGGAACTTCTGATTCTCAAGGCCTGAGAACTTGGCTCCCCACGTAGCTATATTGGCAATAAACTGCAGTTATTTTCTTATAATTGTTTATGACTCAGTGTTTTACATCCACAGGATTAATGGGGAGTGGTCTTGTTCTTGATAGCAGCCTGAACCTCTCACTGGTACTGTAGCCCTTAGGGAGTTTTCCTTTAGTTTCCTGTGCTCTCTGGGTCATCTGTGTCTTAAAGTGAGAATTGGTTAGGAAATCTGGGAGCATCTATTGAAAATGACTTTGCCTAGGGAGTCTTTCAGCCTTCAGGGTAGGAAGCCAGCAGTATTTAGCACGCCAGTTCTTCAGGATAGCTCCACCAAAGAACATGGCCCAGATCAGGCAGCACAAAAGAGGCAGAGCAGAATGAGAGCCGTTTTTGCTGTTCCTTTTCTACCGTGCTAGAGAAGTATGTTCACCTTGTCAACTTTCTCTGTCCATGGGGGACAGACAATGGAAGAAGGGTCCTCCGTGTTGAAATAGCCCTACACAGTATTCTTATGTTTGGGATGTGGGAACTGAGCTCTGTACTTTGGGAAGCAAGGGCATTATTATGAAATGAGTCACTGTATTTTTCTTACTAGAGTTTCTCATAAGAAATCTCAACTCTCCTAGAGCCTCAAATCTGACCTTCTGCTGAACGTGGCGCCTGAGTCTTTCTGACAGTTTCACCTTTCTGTTCTGTTCACTTCTTCCTTCGCAGTAAAGAACATCAAGTCAGATTTTACTGTACTTGGTTCTATTCCACAATATTGACTTCCCTCCTCTCTATCTTTTTTTTTTTCCTTTCTCCCCCCTCTATGACAAACTTAAGTCTCCTGTGTCGAGACTGTTCCTTTTTAGTTGTAAAGCCCTGGAGGGTTGGAGAAATTTGAAGTTACTTACTAGTTCCTGTGATTTCTTTATTGAAGTTACGTAAATAGCCACGGACCTCTGTATATATCTGGGACATTTCAGGGTCATTGCAAAGCTACTGTTTGATTGTGCGCTGGTTACAAGCCACTCCTAGTCTCTAGAGACCACGGTTCCCATCTACTCTGACCATAGCAAGGAACAAAATGTTCTGGGTGCTGGCTCTGTACCAGGGTCTCTATTGGGCTTCAGTGACATAAAAATAGGAAAATACTGTTGCCTTCTAACTGCTTATAGTCTGAGAGATTGACACATAGCCGGGTCACCTCAAGTCATTTCATACCCTTTCTACCGTTCTGAAAGAAAGCCCAGAATTTTAGACCTCCGTTCTTTCTTTTAAAGCTATACTGTTAAAGTTTGTGATCGTTTTGGAAGTTAGAAAGTGGTAAATGGTATTAGTGCTGCCTCAAAGCAGATCCATGCATTAAGGTTTTATGGTTTTCCATCTTGTCCTTCAGGACTGTGGCTGAGCTATGAAAACAGCTGTCGAGATTGCACACCCAGCCCAGCTATCAGGGCAGGGTCCTCTCTGTAGCACGGACTATCTGAAAAGTTTACTAAGAGGTCCTGACCATCAACAGCATTTAAACACTGAGTTGAATACTTCTCTTAAGCCAGGCTACTATTAAAAAGAAAGAAAAAAAACCACCTTCTCATTTGTAAATATAAGATTGGAGAAAAAATTAGTCTCAAGCAATAAACTGCCCTAGACTGAGCTGTATTCAGCATGGGCCTTCCATTCCTCTGCTGGCTAAGTCTTCCTCCATATGAAAGAGAAGGTGGCACGTTATCTCAGAAATCCCTTCTCAGATAGAATCTCTGTCAGGAAAGAAAAAAAAAAGATGAAAATGCACTAAATAAGAATTTTAATGTGATTTTTACCAACATTGAGTTTTTTTAATGCAACAATAATCCTGCAAATTGAGTCATGTTTTATTTTAGGAAAGGTAAACAAAAGTTATAAGAAGAGATTTTAGAAATACAAATTTTTTTAAAAAAGAACAGAAGAAATATACTACTTGAAAATTCGAATGAACTAACTGAATTCTGTGCCCTGATGAGAGGATAAGTAGTCCATGACTTTGCCAAGTTTTGGATGAAGCATCATAGACTTTAAGAAGCCACTCTTGTCCCTGACTATACTTCTGGTTCATGGTGAATTACACAGAGCTGTCAAGATGTTCCTGCAACACTTGGGAAAGGCCCTTAAGTTTGGAGGAAAGGCAGTTCACTTGTTCCCATTTTCTAATATTTCAAACTTGGTTCTTCCTTACCGTGTGGTTACCAAACTCCTGTATGTTCATTGCACCAAAAGGCTAAATGCAAACACACTTAAGGGAAGCAAAAATTACCCCTGACTTCCAGTGCAAAGAACCTCTGTTACCAACCTGATCTTTGTTTCTTCAGTCTTAGTAACTAAGGTCAATGCATATTTATTTTTGTTAGGATTCTACTCATTTATAAGTTAGTTTATTTCCACTTTTCTGTTGATGTTCTTTTGTGTATATTTCTACTTATATAAAATATCCTCATCAAGTAAGGAGAGTAATTTGAAGTGAGCTTATCATCTGTCTTTCAATTATATGTCATTGATATGTGACAGGAAGCGTCTGTGTCTTTTCTACAATGATTTCTCCATGGAAACGCTTGATGATGTATTTTTACATGAGTATTTTCTACAATTTATTAGTTTGAGATGTGAAGTCCTTTTTACTCTGTCTGGTGACCAATGTCCTGCTAATCGTGATCTATAGGTTTAAAGAGAAAGCGACATTCTGTTACTTCCACTGATGGGCTCCACCATCTAGGTCTCGTGACAGTCACTTCTAGGGACAGGGTTTCCCT